GGGGGGATATCATGCAAGGAGGAGCAAAACTTTTGATGCCACTAGAAATATTCAGCTTTTTACTCTGCCACATATTATAATGAGGAAAAGAACAAGAAAAAGTTGAAGAAAGTGGGAGGCTAGAATAACTTGAAATTAGACGAAACTTTCTGGTCTTGTTTTTTTTTTTTTAAAAAATGGTATTTTCCTTTTTTCTTAAATTGGTAAAAGATATTGATTTTTGCCTGGTTTTAATAGCTAAATTTTGGTTGGTTAACTGTCAAAACAATGAATTAAAAAACGTGTGGAATGAATAAATACCTTTTGTCCATACAAAAATGAACCAACAGACTATATTATTGAGTTTTTGCCCATCTCATTCATACTTTCCAATTTCCACTTTTCTTTAGTAAATATTCAAGAATCAAGACATCTTTTTCCAAATACTATCATTTTGTTATGGACCATTTAATTTTAATCTCAAAAACTAGCTCATGAGAGTTTGGGATCATATATAACATGTTCAAGCCTCTCTATCGCGAAATGCTATAATTCTTACATATAATATTGGATTTTATTCAGAAGTAATACGCGAGATCAGGCACCTATTTTTCCTAGTTATAACGGAAAGTTAGAAAATGTGAATGTATTTGTTTAAATTTCATCCTTCATTGGTTTATGGTTGTCTATCGGAAACAGCCTCTCTGCCCGTCTAGGGTAGGGGTAAGGCTTCGTACATCTCACCCTCCCCAGGCCCCACTTGTGGATCGCTTATAAGCTGCCGGACCCCTCTCTATATAGATTTAATTATTCAAAAAGATAAACCATAATTATGATGAATCTTGCTTTTATTTCACCCTATTTTCAAGATTCAAATTATATAAACTACAGTCAAAAAAAATATTTATACTATCTATATAATTTTCTATTATTATACGTTATTTACTTTATTTTCTAATCATAAATAGTTAGTTATTGTTGCAGGTAAGTTTAATCTAATTGTATAAAAAGATTTATACTATTAACGCACCGAAGCTAAAACTTTTTTGAAATGTACGGACATATTATGGAAAACCAACACTTGTAAATGCACTATGATTGTGATTACTTTAAAATTTGAAATGTCTTTTAGAAAGTTAGTTCAATAAATAATGAAATCCCACTATAATTGATTGGCCAAGAATAATCAAGCTACTTTCTATTTTGTGTAATTTTACGGATTAATAAGGAAAATGTGTTTGGAGTTAATTAATTATGAATTTAAGTTATATGTAACGACAAATGTAACCAAAGTTCTATATTACTAGTATAACTTAATATTTTATAAAATTTCATTTATCATATATTTTAGGCTACCAATCAATGTTACTAAATATAGTTACAGATAATTACTTTCAGCCTTTACAATTAATCTTACTTAAGAGAGTCTAAAATATCGGCATCCACTAACATAATCAATTAAATCAAATTATACACGGTGATAGTTAATAATAAAAAAAAAAAATTAATTGACCGATGAGAATGGGGAGAAATTCAAAAATAGCCAGATTTACCACTGGTCGTTGAAAAATAGCCAAGTTTCAAAAGTCATCGAAATTTAGCCACTTAAATCTGAGCGAAAACACTATTCAAAATCCGGAAAAATACGCCCGCAAATTTTACGGGAGTTCAAGCATAATTATGCTGGAACTCCCGCAAATTTTACGGGAGTTCCAGCAAGTATAATTGTCCAGTATAATATACTGGAGTTTGGAGCACTGGCGCTCCAGTCTCCCGCAAATTTTACAGGAGTTAGCAAAGTATACCGGTCCAGCATAATATGCTGGAGTTCGTACACAAATGCACCAGAACTCCCGTATATTATACTGGACCGGTCCCTGTTGCAGTAAAATAGTGGCTATTTTTCATTGACTTGATAAATGCTGGCTATTTTTCATTGATCAGTGTGAAAACTGGCTATACCATGATATTTTAACATGAGAATGACTCACAAGTTGATCTAATCCACATGCACATGCAAACCAATGCAAATTAATGGAAAAGTAATTACGCATAGGAAGTAAATCCAACGTCATTTTTGGCTATTTTACAAACGAATTAAAGCATAATTTAAGGCTGTTCTTGTCCTTAAGCACTTAAGCCCAGTCATAACTATGGACATGCATGTTACCATCAAATAATAAACTTTTGTGTCCAATGTCCTTATCCTGCAATTAATATAATATGCAATTCATGAACGTTGGTTTAATATAATGTATATCATATGCTAAATCATGACATTCATTTTATATCGTACGTCGACCCAATAGTGAATCTAGAGTGTAATCTACAAGTTCACAGAAACCTAATTAGCTTAATTTTTGCGCAGACCTTATATGTAGTAAGAAATTCATTAGGCCAAATACATACGCAGACCCCTAAACTTGAATAATGGATAATGGATAATGCTAATCTACTATTGTCACGTAGTAAATTAGCAAAACTCATGGTTAATTTTGGTGCAGACTAAATAACATAAATATTCTTAAAGGTTGAAGCTTACCACTATATTAATACAGCTCCCTAGACTATTTTGAAGTTTTTGATGGTTGTTATGTTCCACTGTTTTTGCTAATTTATGTGAAGAAATAGGTAATTGGTGGAAGAATAGAAGAAATCATGAAAATACCACTACATCAAATATGATATTTAGCTACGAAATTAATAGTTACGACACAAAATTTGTCACTAATTATTTATTTTTTATGACAAAAATTATATTTCGTGTCTAGATATATGAGCCATATACTTTTAGTGACGAAACATAAAAATTTGTAGCTAAGTTTTGTCCACTAAAGTTTCCCACCAAAAAAGAGTTGGCGCCATTTACCGGGAAATATTTAGCTACAAAGATAATGTTATTGGTGACGAAATCATTTTGTCACTGATGTTGTATACTATTTGTGACAAAATATTTTTGTCCTAAGAAATACTTAATTTTAGATACGAAAAAATTTCATCACAAAAATAGATTGTTAAATTAGCGACAACTAAAGTTTTGTAGCTAAACAATGCGAACTTTAGTTGCAATATATATTACTTATTTGTGACCATATAGTTTTGTCACTAATAATTTAAAAAATTTATGACGATCTTTGTGTTGTCCCTATATATATAATATTTAATTTAGCCACGATGAGGTTTTGTCTCATCACAAATCACTCATTTTTTTTTATAAATATTAGATTTCATATTTGGATGTACTAACTTAGGGATTATATTCGAATTTTATAACAACCTTTTTCTTCTAAAAATTTCCACCAAAAAAATATTGGACGCCATTAATTGAATAATAATTAGCTACAAAAATAAAAAATGTTGTTCATTCATTATTTTATCGTTGACCTTATATATGATTTGTGACCGAAATAAAAATATGTGCTTCAAGTTGTTAAAATAACATTAAGAAAAACGGAAGCTTGGTTCAAATATGCCCTTATTCACTAATAACGGAAGCTTTCGAACACATGAGCTTTTTTACAATGGAAAAGACTTAAATTCACCCCTAAACTGAGTGCAAACAGTTTGGCATACCACTATGGCATTATATACAATTAAATCTCTTTATAACAATCATCCTCTATAATAACATTTCACTATAGTAGCCAAGTTTTCTCTAATCGATTGCTCATGTTATATTTTAACCCTCTATAACCACATTTTACCTATAACAATAGTGATAATCATTATACCAATACTTTTTTTGTAAAATTACCTCTCGATAATAACTCTACTCAAATATTGATTAATCTTGCATTTCACTGTAATGATGCTAATTCTGATTAATTATAGTAAAATTTTCAAAATTACTACTATTTGGTTGAGATAGAAGATTCAAATTTTAAGATTTTAGCAACAATAATTATTTTATTGCTAAATATTAGTAATTGGCAACAACTTTGTTTAGTTGTTGGTACATAATAAATTTTACCCATAAGTTTTTCTTGGCCTAACCCCTCCTTTTGTTCCAAACTTCCCAAGTTTCATCAAATGCTTCAGAGCTGCTGAGTAGGAACGGAACTTACTTTTAATGGTCTCTTGTGTATGGTGATGCGGATTTTCAAGTTAATGTCCTTGGGTGATGCATTCATCTGGTCAACTTCTATTGAACTTGAGTAAATTTATTATCAGCTTCCAACTACTGTTGATTTCCATTTTCTAATCGTTATGTTGTTCTTGTTATTATTAGCGATTGCAGGATTGATTAGATTATATAAATATATAATCATCAAATGATGGAAATAATTTAGCTATTTTCACTTTGAAAGAAAAAGAAAAAAATGAGAAACTTCTATCTTCTTTTTTTTCTGTAGTGAAATGAATGAATGAGGATATAAATAATAACTAGTATTTTGGGTTGCGCAAAAGCTAGAAAAAAGTCTCGAGAAATAAAGAAGTTTTTGGGAGAAAGATGAGTTTAGAGATCCTAGTCCCGTAAATTTTACGGGAGTTCCAGGATAACTATGCTGGNAAAATGCTTCACACGGAGTATTCGAACGGGCAAAAATCGCTCGTTTCCGCTCACTTATCTTTGCACGA